TCGAACCACTAGTTGCTCAGAGCTCGCACTCTTGAGTGAGCTCAACCAACTGAGCCACTCGGCCGACCAGGTTCTCAGCTTCTTGAACCCCAAGCTCTACACTGTGGACATGGGGAACTGGGGAGATTTTAGGAGAATTGTTGATGGGCTTGGCTTTAAGAACAATGACTTAGGTGGCAGTGTATATAGTGAGTCCCGGAAGGGAGACGAAGGTTGGGAGAACAGAAAGAGGCAGTGCAGGAGCCCAGGCATGGGTGACAGGTGCATAGTCAAGGGTGATGTGAGAACAGAACAAAAGCCAATCATGAGACACCAATGGGTGGGCGAAGCCAGCAATCACAGGACTGGCTGCAGGGGGAGGTGGAGAGTCACCCTCAGGGGCCTGAGCCTGGATGGTTAGGGACGTGAAGCATGATGCTGATGGAGTCAGGGAAAGCCAGTTTGGGTAGGAAAATACCGAGCTCAAGTTTGGGATTGTTTGGATCTAGAGCTTCTATGGGGCTGACCTCAGAGAGCTTGCCAGCAGGCAGAGAGGGGGCCCTGGTGGGGGGGCCTCGCTGCCGGTGGCCCTGGGAGTTGTTAACATGCAGATCAGATCTATTTAACCAGGAAAACTGCAGAGCAGAGAAGGAAGAGCAGTGGGCCCAGGGTTGAGCCCTGGATAGAGCCCACCAACAGGGAGGAGGCTGAGGGAGTGAGGCAGGGGAGCAGGAAGGGAGCCAGTAGCTTTTACCAAGTTTTTTGGGTGGCGCCTACCTAAACAGCCTAAGAAATTAATGTATTTTGTCCTCTGATGAGCAATTCTGGGCTGTTGCGTGGCCTCCAGGATGGAGGGGAATGAATGAGAAGGGCCTGGCTACAGAGAAAAGTTCTCCCCACATGGCACTGCCAGAGGCGTCGATGGTACACTAACTGCTGTGTTCTCTCCTGTAGCTACCTGGACGGGAACCAGTTCACCCTGGTTCCGGGACAGCTGTCTACCTTTAAGTACCTGCAGCTTGTGTGAGTATCCAGGTGGCTTGAGGACCCCAGGCCAGCCTCAGAGAACAGGAGTGCCATCAGCATCTGATCCTTGTGACTCCAGCTTTCCTGGAATTCCCTGCAGACCCCACTTGTGGCTGATCCAGTTTTTAAAATTTCTCCGACCCCCGCCTCTGGGAACATCTGTGCATAGAGCTGGTTTGCCACCTAGTGGCCATGCTTGGAAATTGCATTGTTCCAGGCTCCCTTGGGTGGGACCTGCTTCTGCCCACACCGTCTCTCCAAGCCTCCCTCTAGGCTGGTAGTTATTGTTAATGTGGGTCAGCCTTGCAAAGGTAGCAGCCAGAAGTAGAGGATTCTGGGAAAACTTTTTGGTCCAAACTTGGCCCTCAAACCAAATATGAATCATGGCAGCTACAAATATGCATCTGTAGCTAAGGTTTTCTTTAGGCTAACATCTGCTTTTCTGTTATTTCCACCTTTACTTTGACCCTTTCCACTTCATGAACATATACAAAATAAGCCTCAGAATGAGTTCGACTCCTCTTATCCCTCCAGCCTAATGAACACCTCACTTCAACTGTCGTTATCTGCTCATTGCCCCGATTCCACCAAAAAGAAGTCCAGAAATGTTCCATCTTAGTGTGGCTCAGAGCAGCACTACTCTAAGTGTGCTCTGGGGACCAGTGGCAGCCTGGGAACTGTTTGTAATGAGTCCACAATTAGATAAGGAATTTATACCGGAAAGTAAATCAACATATTGCTTCCTTCATTGAGAAAGTCTTGCAATGAAAAAAAAAAATTTAGCCACAGTAAGATGTGTGTTTCATGTCATAGGCGATTGCATTTTGGCACAAGTTCCTTATTGTGAGATGCTCAGTTCAAGGACTGGCCACTTTGAGTAGCGTTGGCTTACAGAGCTTTGAAGCTCAGGTGTATCTGTCTTTGCCAATAATCTAGTAAATGTGTTTTGATTGTTCCATTGGTTGCGGGGGCGGAGGGGGGCTGGTGGTGGTGGCTGGTGACAGAGTGCCAAAGAGAGAGACAACCTTTCTCTGGTCTGATGTGAGGCAGCTCCACTGGTGGCTCAGAAACACTTGAGAAGGAAAGGAGGGGAAGAGGACTAACGGTGGGCCAGGTCTTATGAAGCTGTCTGTGGGGGCTTTTGTCTTTTCCAGGGACCTAAGTAACAACAAGATCAGTTCCTTAAGCAACTCCTCTTTCACCAACATGAGCCAGCTGACCACCCTGTGAGTCCCAGCGGGGGGCGGGGGGGAGGGCATGTGGTGTGGCGAATGAGACTTTCCCCATGCCCACTCCATGCACAGGTATGGCATACGCACTCCCTCGCCCGACTGGAAACGCGCCAGGCCCTGCCACCCGAAAAGACTTCTAAAAAACATTTTTTATTGTGAAATACAGGATATATATATATATATATATATATATATATATATATATGGAAAATTACAAAAAAATATAAATGTACATTTTAACAAATAATCATAAAGCTAGCACACATGTATAGATACCTAAGGCAAAAAATGAGAATACAGCCTGCACCCCAAAAGTCCCCCTATCCCTTCCTGATCATTATTCCTCCCTCTCCCAGCCCAAAACAGCCCCGACCCTGACTTTTATGATGATCACTTCTTTGGTCCTTATAGGATTAAGTACATTTATCCTCAAGTACATTTCTATACAATGTTTAATGTTGCCCATTCTTCACCTTATATAAATTGCATCCTACAAAATATCTATTTTTATATTTAGTTTATTTATCGTGATGTTTGTGAGATCCGCTTGTGCTGTGTGAAGCTGTGGCCTGTTCATTTTCACTGCCGTATAGGGCTCCCTGTGGGAGTATGCCATACTCACCTCGTCCTACTGTGGATGGATATTTGGGTTGTTATCCGTTTGGACTATTGTGAACAATGACCCTCTGAACATTTCTGTGCCCATATTCTAAGATACTTTAGTGTTTGCTTTAATTGTATTCCAAGAAAGCATTGACAAGCATTCCTTATACTTGCTTGGAGCTTAAGAGTGCATCGCATTCACCTGCCCCCGCCCCAACACCTCATTTTCCAGATAATGTGCCAAGAACTTCAGAACTTCCCCCTTAGGTTCTACTGTGGTCCAACAGTAGAAGCAGGATGGGGTCCTGAGCCAGCCAGCCCTCGGGAGCAGAATGTGGGCCTGAGGCTTGGAAGCACAGGTTCCACGCACCTGCACTCTCTGCCCCAGGCAGGGTCTACTGGTCTACCATTCCCCTTTCAAGGTCTTCATGAGCCTGTGTGTGAGATTGCCATGGTCTGGGCCAGTGGGTCTCAACGGGAGGCGATTCCGCCCCTCCAGGAAACGTTTGCCAATGTCCGAAACATTTTTGGTTGTCCCAGCTGAGGAGGGCGAAGGGAGCTACTGGTATCTTGGGAGTAGAGGCCAGGATGCTGCTAAACATCCTACCGTGCCCAGGACAGCCCCTCAACAAAGACTTGTCGACAATGCAGAGGCCGAGAAATCCTGCTTTGAGTGATCCTGGCAGCTGCAAGAGAAACAGAGCCCTTTCCTGTGATAGGAGCATCTCCTTTCTCTTGTTATTATTTTTAAAAATAGCTTTATTGAGGTGCAATTAATATACAATAAACTGCACATACTTAACGTGCACAATTTGATACGTTTTGACTTAATGTTCATACCCATGGAACCATCACCGCAATCAACACAGTGAGCACTTCTGTCACCCCCAGAAGCTTCCTCGTGCCCCTTGACACCCCCCCACCCCTCCCAGCTCCGCAGCCCCAGGCAAACACCAATCTGCTTCCTTCCTTCCCACAGGATCCTCAGCTACAACGCCCTCCAGTGCATCCCTCCTCTGGCCTTCCAGGGGCTGCGCTCCCTGCGCCTGCTGTAAGTCTCCAGGGAAACCTGCCCCACTGAGGGCCCTGCCACCCACCCGGTGGGCTGAAATGTCCCCACATCTGGGGCCCCAGCAGGGCCACCTGTGTCCATAGGTGGGAGGCCAGTCCACTCTCATTCAAGCCCCTGATAAAGGAGGCTGAGGAATGAAAGGGAAACTAGCTGAGAACTAGGGGTTGCTGTCTACCCCAAATTGTGTTTGCAGTGTGTGGGTAGGGGTGGGGGGTGGCGGGACCATCCAAGATGAGGTAGCCCCTTGTTTGCATGCGTTTTCTGTTCAGATAGAGAGTGCTGCAGGAGATTCATGCAGCTTTTCTAAGAATTCCCACTGTGAGGGTTTGGCCCTGTGACCAAAGCCTTCAGCCACGCTTGTTATGGTAGCCCCTCGTGTATCCATGCACAGGGGTCCCTGGTAGCCCACCCCCACTGGGGCAAGGTGACATCCTTCACCCCCAAACTATGGCTTGTGCATTAACTTCCTTACCAATAAGAAGCCTACCCTCCCTCTAGGCTCCTGGCTGCAAGTGTTCCATTTGTGACTTAAACAGAAATGGTGCTTGAGTTATTTAAGATGGCAAAAATAGAGTCCTCCAGTGGGGCTGAGGGACAGGGTGGTCTACTTGGGTCATTAGGGGTCCCTCTGACCGGCCTCTGGCCAGCAGGGCAGGGTCCGTCTCCGAGCTGGGAGCCATCTCCCTCATAGCACTGACGCGTCGTCTGAAGGATAAGCACAATGCCCCTCTCCGCAGAGGGCGGCACCTGTCCCCCCATCAGCTCTCATGTCTCTGTCTCTGACTGAGACAGCGACAGCCTCTTCTGTCCTCAGGTCCCTGCATGGCAATGACATCTCCACCCTCCCAGAGGGCATCTTTGCAGACGTGACCTCCTTGTCTCACCTGTAAGTAACTCTGGCCCCATTCTTTGGATTTAAGCAGAATTTGGATTCCAATAAAGACCTCGCCTCCTGATACTGTAAGAGTTTGTTGCTTTTACCCTGAAACTAATGTATCTTGTGAACATCAAATGCTCCCTATCTCAGACTCTTACACATTCAAAGTTTTATCAGTCACGACAACGGAATTTGAGAACAATTCTTCACAAGCAATAATCAAAGAAGTAGTGACCATTTATTGGTTGCCAAGCACTTTCCCTGCATGAGCTAATTTCATTCTCACAGCAATCCTACAACATAGCTACTATTATTCCCATTTTACATGTGAGGAAACAGGCCCAGAAAATGTGAGAAACTCGCCCAAAGTTGCATAGCTGGTAGGGACCAGAGCCTTGTGTCTTGAGAGCCCGTGCTCTTAAGGACAACACTAGTATTATGCCTCTGATGTCACATGGTAGGGGATAAGCTCCAGAAATTTACTGCCCTCGAGAAGTATATAATGGGACGTAGAATTGCTTCCAAAACCATTTAGCTGGCAGAGCCATGAGGATTCTTAAAATGCACTCGATTCCTCAAATGGCTAAACAGAGAATTACCACATGACCCAGCAATTCCATTCCTAAGTATATACCCAAAAGAACTGAAAGCAGGGACTCTAACAGATAATGGTGCTCTTCCTTGTACACCCATGTTCATAGCAGCACTATTTACACAATGGCCCTAAAGCAAAAACAACCCGTGTCCGTCAACAGATGAATGGATAAACAAAATATGGTATATATTTACAATGGGATATAATCCAGCCATAAAAAGGAATGAAGTTCTGACAGACGCTACAACATGGATGAACCTGGAAGACTTGCGAAGAGAGCTAACACAGACACAAAAGGACAAATATTGCACGATTCCACTGATAGGAGGTACCCAGAATAGTTCAGTTCATAGCGACAGAAGGGAGAATGGTGGCTTCCAGGTGCTGGGAGCAGGGGGAAATAGGGAATTTTTGTTTAATGGTGTAGAGTTTCTGTTTAGGGTGATAAAATAAATTGGGGGGGGGGGACCAGGTAGTGGTGATAGTTGCACAGCATCGTGAAGGTAATTGGTGCCACCGAATTATACACTTAAAATGGCCCAAATGGAAAATTTTGTGTTACATGTATTTTACCGCAATAAAAAAAGTGAATACATAAAGAAACAGTGGGCTAATTCTGGAGATGGGTCTGGGCACAGAGCTTTCTCTCCTGGCATCTCAGCTCCAGGCCGAGGAAGCGTTTAGGCCAGATGGGCTGTGGTGGGGACCCAGGCGTCGCCGCATCCTCTTGCTCTCTACCCCACACCCGAGTGCCCAGGGCCTGAGTGGGCAGGCACACCCAGGTCAGAGAGCCTTTTGGGGTCCCCAGCATCTCTATTTGAAATTCATTCACTCAACAATCTCACTGGATTTTCTCATTTCTAAGATTCACCTTTCCCATATTTTAATCTCTGAAATCAGAGTGTATCTTACAAATCATCTGTATATTTAATATGGTAATATTTCCCCACCCCCTCCCCCACCTCCAAAGCATGGTAAATCAGTTGTGTGTCTAACAATTTTAGACTTGAGGAAATAAAATCATAATAAGCGTCATTCATTGAGGGTCTGCTTGGGACAAATACTTTGCTACGTGAAACACTTTATCTGTGGCGTCTTGTTTACTCCATGACGGAAATGAGAAGTAGGATTTGTGCTCCGTGCCAGCTGCACAAATTTGGCAGGGACTGCCTTGAGCCCACATTGGATTCCAGGGCCAGTGTGGCCTCAGTGGGGAGATTGTGGCGATTGATTAGTGATGTCTGCCACAGGAGTGGAAGGGCTGAGGGGCTGTGTCCTAGGTGGTAGGATTTATTATTTCCATTATGCAGTCCCAGTTTCTGAAAAGTTAAGCAGCTTCCCTAAGTTATAAAGGTAGGAAATGACAGACAAGATTTGTACACAGGTGTGTCTGATTCCAAAGCTCTTTATTTAGTCTTTATTGCCTCAATAAATGTGTCCTGAGTAACCACAGTGAGTCAAGTGCGGAAGAATTTACTAATACAAGGTTTCTGCCCTTGTTACCATCTGGGATATTATAAAGCGAACTCAAAGGCAGCAGGTACTAACTCTAGGGAACTCTGAGGAGTGTCACAGAGGAGGAGCCACTTATGTTGCATTAGAAAGGGACTAGGTGTTTGCTGTTTGGAGAAGATGGAGAAGGACATTCTAGGAAGAGGGAACAGCACATGCAAAGGTGTGGAGGCAAGAGAGTAAATGACATATTCAGGGACTCTATGTTGTCCAGCATCGGATAGAGGGGTTTTGTTTGGATGAGGAGTGTGAGGTGGGGAGAGATTCATCTGGAAAGGGACATTGGAATTCTGTTGTGAAGGGCCTTTGTGCCATGCTAGGGAGTTTGGACTTTATTCTACAGATTGAAGGGTACCGTGGGAGAATTGAATTGTAGAAAACTGGAAAGCATAGTGACATGTGCAGGCTAGATGGGATGGAATGAGGCAGGCGGGACCCTGGATGGAGACGGTGGCTCTGGACAAAGGCCAGGCAGGGCCAGTGTTGTTCATTGTTTCTGATGATGCCCATTCACAGGGGCTTCTTTCCATCTGTGTTTGGTCATTTGTGGTTCTGAGCTCATTTTTTGCTGATGTTCGGAATTCTGAGGACCCAAACTGGGGGTGCTTCTTTCCAGAGAGCATCTGTGCTCCTCTATGCCAAGCGCCAAGGTCTGCTGCTGCTCTGGGCCCATGCAGCCTCCTTTGCTCACCCCCCGGGCTGTGCCAGGTGTCTGCTTCAGCTTTCCACCTCTCCAGGCAAGGCTTTCAAGCATCTGGTGGGGTCCGCCTGTCCCACCTTTGGATCCCCCTTTTTTTTAATAAAGATTTTTATTGGGGAATTGGGGG